TGGATCATTAATTGTCTGATCTAATGAAAACCATCTGAGATGATGAGCAGGAGGACCGGACCTTCACCAGAACCAGTCAGAGCAGTGAGAGCCTGAAACCACAGGCCGGTAAACAGAGACATGTTGTTCGAGGGCAGGCTGGTGTATTTAAGCCTCAGGCTGGATCATCTTTGTTCACTGGGGAACGAGGAGGAAACATGAGGAGGTTTTTCTTTTAGGACTGAAGATCGTCTGACAACCAACAGGAACTTTGCTTCTGCTGCCAAAACTGACGAGTGATCTGTCAACATCCTTTTGTCTGAAGAAAACTATTTTCACTGGCGAGGTGAAGAAAACCAACACAAGTTCTGCTGGTTTGGTTCATGACGGACCTTCCTGGAGCTCGGTTGGGAAAACTTGAGTTCTTTGGGTCTTCAGCCTCATGGATCCTTCAGGAGACCCTGCCTCCCAGCAGCGGTGAGCTTTTCTTCATTTTAACTGCAAATTCTGCTTTATTTTTAGCACTCTGCAGCATCAAGACAGTTTTTACACCTCAGACAGAGAAAGATCATCTGAGGTCAAATTAGCAGATCACATCTATCATCAGGACACAAGGACAGAGCTCTTGTCTTCTATGAGACAGGGGACATATAAAAGAAGAGAATGTTTTTAAATGATTATAAATCGTTCCAGAACTGTGCAGAGATGTGTTTCCTTCAGAAGCCACATAAGTTACGAGTCAGGTGGTCTTGTTATTCAATTCAAATTCAATTCCAGTTCAAAACTACTTTATTAATCCCAGAGGGAAATTATATGTTGTGGTAACTCACCATCCTGGTTTCATTAATGAGTTGTTCTAGATGCTGATGGCTGTGGGCAGGAAGGATCTCTTGTAGCATCTGTCTTGCAGCAGATCTGAAGAATCCTCTGACTGAAGACACTCTGTTGCTGTATGACAGTCTGTTGCTGTATGACAGTCTGATGAAGAGGATGCTGAGGGTTGTCTATAATGTTCTTCATTTGATGAAGAATCCTTCTTTGTACAATCATCTCCAGAGGTTCTAGAGGAGTCCCCAGAACTGAGCCAGCCTTCTTTATGAGCTTGTTGATCTTTTTTAAGTCTCTTGCTCTGGTGCTGCTCCTCCAGCAGATGATGCAGAAGAGACAGTGCTCTCTACAACAGACTTATAGAAGATATGCAGCATCTTGCTGCAAACGTTGAAGGACTTCAGCTTCCTCAAGAAGTACAGTCTGCTCTGTCCCTTCTTGTAGACGCTTCACTGTTGCATCTCCAGTCCAGTCTGTTGTCCAGGTGAACCCCAAGGTATTTATACTTCTCCACCACCTCCACTTCTTATCCCATGATGGAAATAGGGTTGGACCTGTTCCTGATTCTCCTGAAATCTACAATCATCTCCTTTGTTTTGTTCACATTCAAGATGAGATGATTGTTTCCACACCATGCCACAAAGCGGTCCACCAGTTCCCTGTACTCAGCTTCTTGTTCATCTCTGATACACCCGACTACTGCAGGGTCATCAGAATATTTCTGCAGATGACAGGAGTCTGTTTTATACTGGAAATCTGAGGTGTACAGAGTGAAAAGGAATGGTGAGAGTACAGTCCCCTGTGGAGCTCCTGAGCTACTGACCACCTGGTCAGACACACAACCCTTCAGTCTCACAAACTGTGGTCTGTTTGTCAGGGAGTCTTTGATCCAGGTGATTGTTGAGGCCTCCACCTGAGTCTTCTGGAGTTTCTGACAAAGCAGGTCAGGCTGGATTGTGTTAAATGCACTGGAGAAATCAAAGAACATGACTCTCACAGTGCTATCTGCCTTTTCTATATGACAGTGAGTTTGAGGAAGCAGGTGTATGATGGCATCTTCAACTCCAAGTCCATGCTGATAAGCAAACTGCAGTGGGTCCTGATATGTGCTTGTTTGTTTAGTCAGGTGGGTCAGCAGAAGTCTCTAGGACCTTCATGATGTGGGATGTCAGGGCAACAGGTCTATAGTCATTGAGGACTGATGGGTGCATTTTCTTTGGCACTGGAACAAGGCAGGAGGTTTTCCACAACACTGGAACCTTCTCCTGGGTCAGGCTAAGGTTGAAGAGATGCTGCAGAACCCCACAGAGCTGCTCTGCACAGACCTTAAGGACTCTGGGACTGACACCATCTGGACATGCAGCCTTATTCTGGTTCAGTCTCTCCAGCTGCTTCCTCACCTGACTTCTGGAGATGCAGAGGGGGGAGGCAAAGGAGGTATCAGCATCTTCTGATTTAGTTGAAGACCAATATGTAGAAGAAGGGTCCATGACTGAGGTGGTAGATACAATATTTGAGGTGTGACAGGACAGCCTTGGGTCAATGGACGGTGGTATGTATGTTTGGCTGTGGGCAAGAGAGGAGGATGCTGAGCTTGTTCCTGAACTGAACCTATTCAAGAACGTGTTCAGTTCATTGGCTCTGTCCAGGCTTCCATCCTTCTGATCCTCCTTCTGCTTGAAGCCTGTGATCCGTTTTATCCCTGACCACACCTCTCTGATACTGTTCTGTTGGAGCTTGCTCTCCAGTTTCTTCTTGTACACCTCCTGCTGTTTCTTATCTTGACTTTTAGTTGCTTCTGTGTGCTCCTCAATAATTCCCTGTCCCTCCTTGAAGGCTCTTTTTTTCTGGTTTAGCAGTTCCTTCAGGTCAGTGGTGATTCAGGGTTTGTTATTGGGGAAGCTTCTCACTGTTCTGGTGGGGATGGTGTTGTTTACACAGAAGTTTATATAGTCGGTCACACACTCAGTCATGGCATCGATGTCCTCTCCATGTGGCTGGCACAGTGCATCCCAGTCTGTAGCGTCAAAACAACCCCGCAGGGCTTCTTCAGCTTCCATTGACCATTTTCTCACTGTTCTCTTTATTGCAGGTTACCTCTGAACAAGGGGTTTATATTTTGAGCAGAGAAACACTAGATTGTGATCTGATTTACCAAGAGGGGGTCTTGCTTTAGCGATGTATGAATCCTTGACATTTGCATAAAACAAGTCCAGCGTATTGTTTTCTCTGGTAGAGCAGCTGACAAACTGTTGTCAAGTCACTGTTGAAAGTGTAGCAGAGAGAGATGCATGAATAAAATCTCCAGATATTGCAATAAACGCACTAGGGTAATGTGTCTGTTGCTTAGCAACCTCGGAGCTGATGACATCACATGCAGTCTCAGCAACAGCATTGGGTGGAAAATAAACAGTTGCCAAAATAACACTGGTGAACTCTCTTGGCAAATAATATGGATGACAACTTAGAGCTAACAGTTCAATATCTGGACTGCAGAGACGACACTTCACAGTAACATGTCCAGGATTACATCATCTGCTGTTCACGAGCACTGCCAACCCACCTCCTTTCCTTTTGCCACCCCTCTTTAAATCTCTATCTGCCTGTATGGTCAGAAAGCCTGGCAAGGAAACGCTGGAGTCAGGGATATGATCCTGCAGCCATGTCTCAGTGAAACACATCACACTGCATTCCCCATACTCTGGATGGGTCCTTGTTAGGGCCTGAAGTTCATCCAACTTGTTTCCCAGCGATCTCACATTGCCCATCATGATTGATGGAAGAGATGGTTTAAACTTGAGATTATATTGATATTATAGATTCACATGTTCTAATGGATTCCAGGGACAAACCTCAAAGTATGAAGGACTACCAACAAAAAAGAGACATCAAGAAGACCAAGGAAGTCTCCACACAGGTCATAGTCAAAGTCAAAGAGAAGAACACATCAGAGGTGGACTATAAGAAAAAACACAAAGCTCCATTAGATCCATTATTAGAAATGGAAAGATGATGTAATCACAGCAGACCTGCTAGGAGAGGTTCATCCACCAAAAGTCACAGAGTGGACCAGAGCAACATCCCTAACGGAGCTGAATGATGGAGGATCTGTCTAGAGGACCACTAGAAGCTGCACAGAGCTGGACTTCATGGAGGAGTGGACTGGAAGAGGACATCACACCTGTGGAAGACAGTGCTGTGGACAGATGAGACCAAACATTGAGGACATCATGTCTGAGGGACATCTACCACCTCATCGTGACGTCAGCATCATGGACTGAAAACTGCTCAGAGCTGAAGCAAGATGGACGTAGAAACATGCAAACGCACATTTTTACCTTGTTCTGTCATATTTTTTTCATTAGTTTCATAATAAAACATGTTTTTTCACTTTCAAAATAAAGGTTATTCTGTGTATTTTAAAACTCCTGTAATTTATTTTAAGTTCCGGGCTGTTCGGACCCCAGACAATATTTCTCAACTGCTGTCTTTAAAGGAAAAAGAAAGGAAAGCTTTAAAGAAAGAAAAGCTTTGCAGAGAGTGGTGAAGGCTGCACAGAAGATGTTGGAGTCAGTCTCCCCACCATCACAGACATCTACACCTCCAGATGCAGGAAGAGGGCCACCTGCATCATGAAGGACCCCACTCACCCAGCACACACACTTTTTGCCCC